CCTCGGGCCGGGGTCGGTGCACACGCCCTCGTGGCCTGGCCAGGGAGGCATATATGCACAGATCCTGGGCCCAGGATGGGCCTGGCCAGGATCGGTGTACGTGCATAGTTCTCCTCGCCTGATATTAGGTCGGGCCGGTCCCCCATACAGGGGGACTTTGGACGGAAAAACATATAGTCAAAAGATACCCCCAAAGTATTCAAAAATACCCAAAAGTACGAACAAATCGTCGCCAAGCCATCTTTTGCCTACTTCTGAACATGCCTCCTGGAGAGGGACAGGCCCGACTTGAGCCTGATCTCTTCGCGCCCTCGCGCCCTCGCGCCACCTTCTTCGAGAAGGACGCCCACCAAAGCCCCGCCCGCGGCGCGCGAGGCGCGCTCGCCTCCGCGCCCCCGCGGGCCACCTGGACGCGCCGGAGGGGCATCGCGCACGCTCGGCCAGCAGCTGCCGCGAGCCTCGATGCTGGTGGTCGAGGCGTGCCAGCGCAGGGGGGAAGCCCATCAGCTGGGACGAGGCCCTGCCTGAGTGGAGCCAGCCACACCCCCGCCAAGGAAGCACTGGCCCAGCCGGCCAGCCTACTCCATCCCGTGCAGGGATGGGCGCCACCTCCTCCGGGCTTCGCAGCACCCACCCCTGCACCGAGGAGGGCGTGCTGGGAGAGCCGCCTTGCCCTGTTCCAGCGGGGGGGGGGATGGCTCTGACGATGACGGGCAGCAGCCCACATGGCCAGCTGCAGGGACACGGTCGAACAGATGGGCGAACGTCTGTGCATGAATGCCTCGCATCAGTCGGAAGCCCCTCGAAGAGCGATGCGACCGACGAGCGGTGGCGGCGCGCGGCGGCGGCGGCCGAGCATGCGGGAAAGGTTTGTGTCCATGCGTTTTGGAGGCTCGAGCTCCCTTCCCCAGGGACCAGGGGCGCAATGGATATGGATGAAAATCTGGCCCCATGGATGCGAAGCGGGGATTTATCCATATCCACCGCCTGGGAACCGACGTCCTGGTGCCCCAGCGGGCGGTGGATACGGATATATTTCGGCCCCCGAGGGCCCGAATATGTCCATATCCACCGCCTGCCGAGGCTCCGAAAATGACCCTCCAGGCGGTGGTCATGTAAAATTCCACCAACGGAATGGAGGCTAAAACATTGTCCATATCCACTGCGCCTCGGCCTTCTGGCGCCCCTTCCAAAAAAGTTCAGGACGCCGTGGATATGGATATCAGTCTTGCCCGCAGAGCAGGGCAGGGCACTGCCCGCCTGAGAAGAGACAGGCGGAGGGGGAGGAGGAGGAGGAGGACGAGGAGGAGGAGGAGGAGGAGGACGACGAGGAGGAGGAGGTCGTCTACCACCGCATCCCTCCTCCTCCTCCTCCTCCTTCTCCTCCGCTGGGGGCGCCCCGTGATCGCGGGCCCGGCAGCGCCCGCTAGGAGGAGGACGAGGAGGAGAAGGAGGATGAGGACCGAGGAGGAGGAAGAGGAGGAGAGCGATCGTCTACCACCACATTCCTCCTCCTCCTCCTCCTCTTCCTCCTCCCCCTCCTCCTCCTACTCCTCCTCTCCTCCTCCCCCTCCTCCTCCTCTCCTCCCCTCCTCCTCCTCCTCCTCCTCTCCTCCTCCTCCTCCTCCTCCTCCTCCTCTTCCCCCTCCTCCCCCGCTGGGGGCGTCCCGTGATCGCGGGCCCGGCCGCGCCCGCGAGGAGGAAGAGGATGAGAGGAGGAGGAGGAGGAGAGGAGGAGGAGGGAGGAGGAGGAGGAGGAAGGAGGTCGTCTACCACCGCATCCCTCCTCCTCCTCCTCCTCCTCCTCCTCCTCCTCCTCCTCGGCTGGGGGCGTCCCATGATCGCGGGCCCGGCCGCGCCCGCGAGGAGGAGGAGGAGGAGGACAAGGAGGAGGAGGAGGAGGAGGAGGAGGAGGAGGAGGTCGTTCTACCACCGCATCCATCCTGCTCCTCCTGCTCCTCCTCCTCCTCCTCCTCCTCCTCCTCCTTCTCCGCTGGGGGCGTCCCGTGATCGCGGGCCCAGCTGCGCCCGCGAGGAGTAGGAGGAGGAGGAAGAAGAGGAAGAGGGGTCGCCTGAGCCCTTCGGAGAAACCCTCCACTCGAGCCCGGATCCTCGACACGCCATCCTCTCACGACGACGACGACGACGACGACGACGACGACGACGACGACGACGACGACGACGACGACGACCGTCCGCCAAGGCCGCCGTCTCCTCGCTTCTTGCCGCCCGCGGAGGGCCTCAGCGTGGCGGCCCGCGCCGCCGGCCTGGGCCTGGGCGGCTTGCCTCGCTGGCGAAGGGGGAGAAGAAGGCCGAGGTTCAAGGATCGATAAACAAAGCAACAAAACATGACCACCACCTCCTCCTCATCATCCTCGTACTCCTCCTCCTCCTCCTCCTCCTCCTCCTCCTCCTCCTCCTCCTCCATAACCTTGCAGAGCTCCGCGCGGATCGGCGCTGGACCCCCCCTCCCCCCGCGCGCGGAGCGCGACCGGGCCGG